AGCTCTGGGGTTAGCAGAATGTACTTGACTCTTCGTTTTCCCACAATATTTCTTTTCAATAAATAGCATAAGCAGCTATTCGGCTTGTTTTTACTTTTGGTAGAAGTCCCTTATCAGCTAGTATGCAATTTCTAGTAGGCAGCTACCTGAATATCGCAAGGGGTGTCTTCATGAACTTCTGCACATCGCCAGAGGAATGTCTTCAGTACTTTAGTTATACAGGTTTTTATATGCTTCTTTAATTGTCTTTTGTGAAGACTTAAACCAAGATAGCTATTGGCTTTTCTGGACTATGTACTTTGTACGATGGTTCAGTCTGATACATATTGTTGAAGTTGCTTGGACCCCATTTTTTCGTATAATATTCTCGTTAATAAATATCCTGAGCTGTTTGAGCTTGTTTTGTTCTTTTTATGGAAGACCTACGTCATCTTGTTTTACTATACAGTGGATACTAGATCTGGTAAGTCGCTGGAGTTGATAAGGTATAGGAATGGCCTTATTACAATCCACTGGGGCGAGCTTGATTCTATTAGAATTTTAAATTTTCGATTTTAGAGATAAGGCTTCAGTTAATGTTTCAGGAAGGTGCGGTTCAAGCCATCGCATGTAGCGCGGAATGCCAGACACGACGTGACCTGCTAAAATTGTACTCTTAGGCTGATTTTATTAACAATCGGGTTAAAACCGATAAATAAATTATTGGCGGAAATAGTGGTTTTGTTTAATTTCGTTAATTTAATTTTCTTCTGGCGTCAAAAAGTAATAATGTTTCAAATGTGGGAATTTCTAAACGAGCTCGTTTCCGGGGTCGAGAAGGCGGTTAGTGGACGAACGATTACCGTTTCCGCTTTTACGACCACTTCCCAAGGTTCACAATTGAACCCTATTCTTTTATTCGGAAATATAATTCAATTCTTCTGTCTTGTACAGCGCACCCGAGAGTTCGATCGACAGGTGCCGGGTACCGCAGGCAGGTGGGCCGTACTGACCGGTCGAACGAAATCACCCAGATCTTCTAAGTAGAAAAGGATTGATTGAAGATGACGAAGTCTGAAGATCTGTTCCGTACAGGATACGAATACCGGTTTTCGTCTCATGGTTCCTAGAATATTTTCTACACTTCTAGCGGCAGACGATCATCACAAGGCTTCATGATACTAAGGTATATTACTGTTAGCTAGAAGAAATTAATGGCCCGCAGGTTTGGGAGTGTTAAATGACGCAGTTTAAATTTTTTAATAAAAAATGTTTTAGCCGGCCCAAGGGTAGAATGGATTGTAACAATCTATCGAGAAAGAAGCCTACAACACACTTTCTTGCATCCATGAAAATCATGGATTTATCGCTTATTATATGCAAAAATATTCGTCTGCGATAGAGCATCGTACCTGTACACATGGGTCTGGAGGGTAATGAAAACGCGACGAGGCGACTAAGGCCGGGACGTCCCAGCCTTCTTACTTAACCACCTCCATCCGGCCCTCTGACGCTAAGAATGAAATAAAAAACATGATTAAAGGAAGGTGGAAGCATCAATGGGCCGGATCGATAGAAAAGCTCTCAAGAGTACTGGCGATCGGTGGCTCTCGGAGGATCTGACTCGTAGATGAAGATGTTCACCCGATTGAAAATAGACCATGCGAGGTTGACTTACTATTACGCCAAAGCCCGCGTATGTGTCCGGTATGCAGAGAAAGGTTGCTTGATGTGGCTGCAATTTCTTGGCTCCATACAAAGAGCGCGCAGGAATGCCATCCGATTTGAGAATTGTGCTTGAGCACGGCAGCGAGTATTTTGTCCCCTGTTCTGATTCTTGGAGGAATCGGAGTTATTCTATTGTAGTAATGATAGTTGTGTATACCTAGTTTGTGTTGAGAGTGAATGTATTTATTAGCGTGAAAGTGTGATGTAGATGTCGATGGCGCAATAACCCCATCGACCCTCAATTAAGTTACTTGTATAGTATGTATAAAGGTGGGAGTTGTTCTATTGTAAATAGTAGTAATAGTTGTGTTTACCTCAATTATTTACTAGAGTGATGTGAGGAGGTCTGTGGAGGAATATCGAGTACCCCATCGACCCTCAATTAGGTCAGTTGTATAATCAAAGGTTGTTGGATGATATCAAGTACTCCATCGCCCTAATTGATTGAATGACATGTGAATAGGAGTGAATGTATTTAAAAATGAACGTGAGAATGAATGGCTTTAGAACTGCATGCGTTGGGTACTGAATTGACCTAGATGTTGACAGACCTCCCCCTGTGCCCGACCATGGTGGCTGAACGGATAAGAGTGAGGTCTGCCCCCTGACCGCCAACACCCGGGTTGGGTGATTATCGAGTCTCCCGGTAATTTACTGTAAATAGCAAAATTTGGAATTGCCAGTGGATAACAAGAAGCCAGTAGGCTTAACTCGGCACATTTTTGTATGTGTGTACATATGCGGGTTTGAGTCTATACAAATCCAAATCCAAATTTCTATTCAGTCTTGAGATGAGTCGTAAAACAGTTGTATTGCAGTAATTTATTCCGTTCAGATAATTTTGATTTACCCATTCTTTCTTGTTTTTAGACTCGTCTAAAGACTTGTCTTTTGTTCATACCAAATAACAGCTGTAAATTCGTTTCGGCAACGAGTTATCGGAAGTAAGACAGATATAAGCCGGCGTCCTACAAGGGAGCATTCTTGGTCCCATCCTTTATATCATTTATACTGCTCACATACCAACACACTCTAATACCACCTACACGAACCTCAATTTTCTCTTCTAACTCGAATCCTATCCAAGCTACCTCCAGAGCATACGTATGTTCGTACATGTGCGGATTTGAGGCTGCATAAATCCAAATCCAAAAATCTTGATCTTTGATGACTCAGCGCATTAATTAAATACTACTAAGAATACGGCAATGTTGCCAAAAACGTACGTACTTTATTATCCAACCAAACTCAATATTGCAACAATTTATATAGGAACAAATTTGCCTGCCACACATGCCCATTTTTTTTCTAAAACCCTCTCTATCAAAACAGTCAACTTTTCTCTCTCTCTCTCTCTCTCTCTCACTCTCTCTCTCTCACTCTCTCTCTCTCTCCTTCTTTCCCTCTCTCCATTCGTTCTACACCTATCACTGAAAAATACACGTCCCCTCACAGTTTCCACTCAGAGGTAAAAAGTAATATTGTATAAGTGCGTGGTGTTTAGTGACCGTTAGTCAATGAAGGCACTCTCAACACGACACACAAGAATGACACAATTACGGAGAAAACAAACACTTTGTGCCCTGAAGATGATCTCAATGAAGATCGAAACGTGGGCACGATAAATAAAATGTTTTTTAAAACCTACGTCACACCAGACAGCATCTCACGATCTCCGAATAATAATTAGTAATATTTTTGTATATTTAAAAAAAAAGTGAGACCATAAACAATTCTCAAGGTGGATCGATGGGGCAACCATCAGTTAATATTCAACCGATTCAAACTGGGATCCTCTTCTCCCCCATTCCTTCCGACCAGGTCGATAGATGGGGTATAATAGTTAGGGCTTCACCAAATTGGTAAAGGAGGTTTGGAGATACAAGTAACCGTCATTAAATAAATATATCAATTTTTTAGTCAATCAAAGTCATGGTCTAGAAGTCTATTTCCTCTTGTTTTTTTTTTTTGTTTTTTTTAGAAATTAAAAAAGTGCTCAGTAAGAAACAGAGTAATAAATAATTAACCGACGAAAAAACAATTTTTTTCAATTTTTTTTCGTTTTTCTTGTAAAAAACGTGTCCTACGAGCCTTTTACATCGAAAAAGACAAAAAAAATTTCAATTTTTCTTGGGTTTTTGCTTTTTTGTTGATTGAGCCTTTTACATCGAAAAAGACAATAAATTTTTTTATTTTTTTCGTTTTTTGCGTTTTTCTTGAAAAAAAAACGTGTCCTATGAGCCTTTTACATCGAAAAAGAATTTTTTTTTTTTTGGGGGGGGGTTGCGTTTTTCTTGAAAAAACGTGTTCTTCAGCCTTTTACATCGAAAAAGACAATAATTTTTTTCTATTTTTGGGGGTTTTTTGCGTTTTTCTTGAAAAAACGTGTCCTACGAGCCTTTCATCGAAAAAGACAATAAAAAAATTTTCAATTTTTTTTTGGTATTTTGCGTTTTTGTTGAAAAAAACGAAAAAAAACGTGACCTACGAGCTTTTACATCGAAAAAGACAAAAAAAATTTCAATTTTTCTTGGGTTTTTTGCGTTTTTGTTAAGCGCGCCTTTTACATCGAAAAAGACAATTTTTTTTGCGTTTTTCTTGAAAAAACGTGTCCGTCCTATGAGCCTTTTACATCGAAAAAAAACAATAAATTTTTTTTTTAGGTGGGGGTTGCGTTTTTCTTGAAAAAACGTATCCTACGAGCCTTTTACATCGAAAAAGACAATAAAAATGTTTTCTATTTTTTGGGGGGGGGTTGGGGGTTGCGTTTTTCTTGAAAAACGTCCTACGAGCCTTTTGCGACGAAAAAGACAATAAATTTTTTTTTGGGGGGGGGGTTTCGTTTTTCTTGTAAAAAACGAAAAAACGTGTCCTACGAGCCTTTTATATCGAAAAAGACAATAAAAAAATTTCAATTTTTCTTTGGTTTTTTGGGTTTTGGTGAAAAAAACGTAAAAAACGTGTCCTACGAGCCTTACTTAATTGAATGTGAAGGTGTATAGACTTAAAATTCTTAAAACTACAGAAGACTGATTGATGTTCCTGTTTCGTCGTAGGAAAGTCGGTTCAATCTGTAAATTTCCTTTTGTCCAAAAAAACGATCCTAAATTGATGTTTCAACCATTTTTGTCCTGAATATTTCAGCAAAGAGAATGATTATAAAGAATAAACTTTGAAAAAAAAAATTGTTTAAGACTTAAAATAGTATTTTCTATGATGTAGGAGGTAATGGCCCTCTTAAAAAATAAAACCATAGAAGTGAGGAGTAACTATATTTATTAATTGTCTCATCCTCATTGGGTATACTCCGTTCTGAAGATTATAAATGCCAAATCTCCAATAAAGAAATGTATGAACTTTCCGTTTTCGTAGCTACAGCAGACTTTAATATTTCTTCCGACAAACGCGTGCCATCTTCCACCCCTGTAAGTCTTGTCCATGTAGTCCTTTATGTAAGTAGCGATGTCAATTTCTGTTTGAAACCTCCCCAAAGCCCTGTGACCGAGAGATATGACCGTCTCTTTCATCTTCTCAGGCATGTCCGTGTATTTGATGGTCAGTTCTGTCTTTCTATCGCCTTTTATGTGTTTTCCAGTCAAACCTACGTCGACTTTGCACTCCATGTCTATTATTCACTATTCTGGGATTAAAACACTTTTTAATTTAAAACATTCTAAAGAAAAATAATGTTTTTTTTATTCATTTTTTTTATTTAACCAATATGATTGATACATATGGTCGGTTTCTCCGTTATTTAGCGTAGTTGTTGTCTCTTAGAAAAAAAAAAAAAAAAACGGGAATTTTTAATTCTACAACGTCGGGATCATCGGAAAAAACAGTTTCTTAAACTACAGCTTGCTGCCATCAAATTAGTCTATCGTATAATATCGAAAATTCTGTTTCAAAAACAGTAAACAACGAGGTGAATTTAAAAAAAAATTCCAAACCCCTAAAAGTGGGAATTTTCAAACTTTCAAGTCGTAAAGAATCCTGACTTTCACTTCTATTTTTACCCTGTTATTATTGTTCAATGTGCGTCGAAATGTACAAATTTATCTTGCGCGACATCACCTTATTATATACCTAACGCCTTTTTTGTTTAACAATTCCTACTCAAGTCTTACAAAATGTTCATGATACGAAACAAAATATATCATTTTGGGGATATTCTGAGCACATTTATCTCAATCAATGGCTTAAATGGTTTTAAGCTATCATTTCAGGGGGCGTCGGTGGCCGCAACGGTTTAGGCGTTGACACGGCGCTCGTAAGGTAAAGGTCCCGGGTTCGAATCCAGCGGCCCTGCATTCGAACCTGACATACTTACAAATGGGCTTTTTTTTTAAAACACCGGCACCCTGAGGGTTTATGACCTCTGCTGTTGCGAACCCTCGTAAAAAAAAACTTTCATTTCAATCGTACTAAATTATGAACTCAGCAGATGCATTTTTGGTGGTAACTAACTAGAAACCATAAAATCTTTAGTTTATGAAAATATACAATAGATAATTCCCATGTTATACTGTATTCATATTTCCGAGGAAATCCATTTATTTTCCGTTTTGTTTCGGATTTTTCTGACATTTTAGCCTGTGGATATTCTCCTTTTCTAACATTACTTCCCCAAGACGTCCCATATTTCACCAAGTTCAAATTGTACGTAGAATTTGTTTATTGTTATAAATTTAAAAAACTTTTTAGAACAAAAACTCGTGTGTTTAAATGATTTTCCAAAAGGTCATTTAAAAATAAAAAAACTGTCCCTTTTAAATGATGTTATTTTCAAAACAAATGTACTCCAGGACATTTTCGTTCCATTCGCCTTGAGATTGTTTTGCCTGATAACGAGTGAGATAACGAGGCCGTTGACATATCGATAAAATAACTTTCGAAAACAACTAATAATAAGAATGGCTCAGAAGTCAAATTTCCTCACTTGATAAATCAGCATGATCTTTTAATAAACATGATCAGATTTTTTGTTTTGTGTTTTGACCTGGCCATATGACAAAAATAAAATTTAGGCTCAGTTCGACTCATTCGACAATTCGGATTAGTGGCGACATATGACTCAACGTGGTTATGATTGATTTATTTTGCTGATGCCACCTTCGCCAAAGTCGCCCATTTTAGTGTTTTTATCGACATCGAATACACAAGTTTTTACAAGTGGTCAGGCAGTGAGCATAATAAGAGAAACATTAAAAAGTAAAGGAGATTTAAAAAATACTGAATTAACACTTGAGCTCTTACAGTAACAGATGATGATGAGAAGTTTAATCAGACGAAAATATTTCCTCCCCCTGGAGAGGAAAAAAACATCCACCCAGGGACATCATTGTTGAACGCATAGCTAGAGGGGGATGTTGTTGAACAACCTTAACCCCCGGACAAACATAACGAGCTCATGTAAGGTCAAGCCCCTTTCGATAACCCCCCCTAGGTTTAAACGTACAAAAAGAATCTCATCTTACGATTATCTAAAGTTGAAATTGATTTAAGTGAGGTCAAAAGTGGAGACAGTTTGGTTACAAATCTCCGATATTGGTCCCAGATGTCCTCAGCCGCTTATCAGTGTATAAAAAATGAAAATCCATCTTCAATAATATCACAAATAAAATGGTTCCCACGATATGCAAATGTATATCCCAAATCCTCAAACTTAAGTTTGACGGATCAGCGAGGATGTTGGTTGCAATTTGTCAACTTTTTCTTTGTTCTGATCTAACTTTTATACTTTTCTTTTTATTCGGGAAAAACTATTATTCAATATGTTCTAAAAAGCGTAAAGCCGATACATCAAAACTGAAATAATTTGGTGACAATCGATAATATATTATTCTGTAGTTTGGCATACAGGTCAAGGCAATTTTCGCACGCGTTTAAAACGGTCGACTTGCAGAATATAACACAGACCAACCACAGACGATAGGCCATGAATACAGGTTCACCAAGCAAATTTCAAAAATTGGTCAATGTGCTTACAATTCTTCTAACAGTTTAGGGTTAAAATTAAATACAGTTTGTTATCCGTAAATAGATTTTTTTTTGTTTTTGTTTTTTTCTTAGTTTGGTCGTTTCATATCATTAGGGTTTACGTATCCTCGCTGTTTTGGTCTGACAGACGCGTTTGGTCATACGGCCATCTATAGTTGTTGTTCTCCGTTTTTGTTAGACCTTTCACTTTGACACATTGGTAAAATATGTATCTTGTCTTTAGTTTATTGTAAAATAGGTACTATATTTTGTATAGATCAAAAGAGCTAGGATAGACGGATCAGAATGACGAGAAACAACTGAATTACAGCTTCGTCATCCAGCAGATCTCAAAAATTGGTAAACCTGTGAATAAAGTGTGCTTGCAGTTCTTCAAATTGCTTACGTTCAATACTAAATACAATTTGAGACATTGGTATTTGTTTTAAATATATAAATATTTGTTTCTGTAGTTTGGTCCTTTCCCACCTTACTGGTCTGATATCATCATATCTTCAGTTATTGGTCGGCCATTTTTTCAACTATGGCCATTATACAAACGGGAAAAATATTAGAATTATTTAATTTATTGAAGGATAGTTTTTTGTACATTTGACATACCAAAACAGAAAGGAAAGGGGAACAGCTAAACTGCCGGTTAATCATCAAGCACACCTCTTAAATTGGTCGGACGAAACTAGATGGTTTCTGACAAATCATTTTTTTTCCTCCCCCCTCAATACGCATAAGCAGAATAATCATCTTAGACCTTGGGTAATAGTCATAGATCGTTATAGAATAAGGCCATTAAAAAAAAATTTGTGATTTGGTCGTTTGGTCGTATGTCAAACGCACTTCTGCTTCTCACCACTTTCGCTGGTTGGTTTGCGTGTTATTCTCAGTCGTGTCTCTTTATACTTGTGTAAAATAAGTCTTATATTTTCTTAATTGCGGAATAATAATTAAGTGGGAAGTCTATGGGCCGACAAACAGCTGAGGTCATCGCCGGCCCTCTGCGTGTTTTTATTCTTTTTCTCTTCTGTCGCGCGTACTGCTTTAAACTTCAGCCATTTGAGCGTGTCGATCTGGTTACTGACTGTATATTTCAAATGTATACCACGTTGATATCCTAGAAAGTCTCTCGTTTGTACCTCAAGTTGTCAAATACAAAATAGAAACAAAAATATACATCACCTCCAACATAGAGGTCTGGTCACATTCACTCCCCCAGAGTACTCGATATTCACGCTAATAAATTACATTCATTACAATAAATTAACACAAACACAACACTCGATAGAAACATAGAAGTCTGGTCACATTCACTCACAATGCGGAATAATTTTGAATTCTAGATTTTAGACAGACCAAAACAGAGATCTTCGGACCAGCGTGGCCAGAAATCGGAACGTCCAAAGTACAGGTTCATCACCCAGCAGACCTCAAAATTCAGTCAGACCTATGAAAGAAATTTGCTTGCAAGCCTTCCAGTTGTTTAGATTTAAAGATAAATAAGTCTGTGAAAAATAAATGAAAACATTTCTGTAGTCTGGTCGCCGTCCGATCATTCGCCAAATTAAATTGGTTTTGACCCTCTCTTTCCCACGTATTTCTGCTTCTCATAACTTTCGGTGTTGGTTGCATGTTATTTTATTAGTCGGGTCTCTTTATACTTGTGAAAATAAATTATATATTTGTTTTCTAGCGGAATAAGTCTGAATTTTGGATTTTGGATGGGCTAAATAGCGAGGACAGGCGGACCGGTAAGGCCAGAAATAACGACTATAGGTTCATATCTCAAAAGACGTCAAAAATTGGTCAACCTATGAATGAAATCTGTTTGCAAATCTTTTAATTATTTACCACAAAAGATAAAATAAATACAGTTTTGTCAAATCGATAACATTTTCTGTTTTTAGTTTTTTCACTTCCGATCATGTTGGTCTGCCAGACGCATTTTTACTTCCGGACATTTTCACTAATTGGTATGCGTACCATTAGTTACTATTTATGCACATTGACTTCTTTTATAAATGTTGATCGGTTTCTGGACATCTACAAAAGTCATGAAATATTGAAAATTTATGTTAGAACATTTCATAGGGATTAGCTGCAACTCGTCTAAATTCCTTTCTTCAAGTTTGATTAATTTTTTTTTCTATTAATTTTGCCAGTATTTAATTTGGCTTTGAAATAATAATCCTGTCGTATTTAATCAGTAAAAGAGATACGTTTCCCTTCTATTTCCTGTGTTGGCAGAAGACCTTATCCTCCTCTAATTTTTCCTTTACCTGAAAAGGCCGTTTTTGGGGGGTGAAAGGCCTGCTATTGTTATTTAGTACTGGTTATCAGACGGACTCTTTACCAGCCCCATCGAGTAAAACTTTTGTCCAAAGTCCATATTAAATCAAAGGAAAGGCATTAGAAACGAATTTGGAACAGGCAGGTAAAGTTTTTTTTAAAAACAAAGATAAAATAAAGCTTTCGTCATGAGGCATGCTAGGCTGATTTTCCTGTTACTTTAATCTAAGATTAGGGATTTTTTCACTTTTACTCATACCTGCCATTCACCTCCAATCGGCAAACAAAACTGTCTATAGTCCAACACACCAGTTTTGCCTTTCTACTCTCTTAAAACCGAAAAAAAAAACTTTTATATCCCTATCGCCATCACTGTACATTGTTTTTATGCTTATATTCTAGAAAAATATGTTACGAAGTGATATATTTGCCAAGAACGAACAAACGGTATTTTATAGATTTGATACATGTATGTTTTGAATCATGATCTGTTTGTCGCAATTTGTAATGTTAAATGATTTGATAAATTGATTCATTCCATTACACAGAGCTAGTTCTGTCAATTACAAACCGTATTACTCATTATTATAAAGTTTGTGATATAAATAATAAATATATCATAGATATGAATACCGCGTTATATCGGTCGATGTGGAAAGAGCATAAACTCTCGATATAATGATAATTACCCGTAAAACCAGCATGGAAGGGAAGATAAAATTTATTATTTAAACTGACCGAACAGTATGAATAAACCGCAGACTTCTCGTGTTGAAATGATCGAGCTCTAAAACAGTAGATGGTTAAATTTTGAGCGTTTTCTTGAGGTATGAGATAATTCGGTCGTTTCCGATCATCCTGGTCCGCCTATCCTCGCTGTTTTGGTCCGTCAGACGCATTTTTGCATTCTTCCAATATAATTAACATCGGTCTTTATATTACAGTTTTGTATTAAAAAAATATATATATTAAGGTCAAGAGAAAATAGTTTTCGACGAAATATCGAGGAGAATTAATTTCATGTTATAAAAATATAATCAAACAATTTAAATGTAGCCGTTTATTTTATTTTTATGAAAAATATTAATAAAACATTGCACACAATCACTTGAATCAATTATTTCCCAAAATTTTCATGACTTAAATGGTAAAAATTTGATTCTATTTATTATAAATTAAGGCAAAAACTGTGGAATGTTATTGTAAATATATTTCTTTCTTTGTCAATTCAAAGGATCCACTTGCCTCAATTATGTTTAAAATTAAAATAATTTTGTTTTGAAATTGTGTTCAACCAAATAAAAAATTAAACAAAAATTAATATTTTTTCCGGTTTCTCATTTAAGGCGTTATTTTTGCAATATCTAACGTTTTTATGAGCCTAATTTTTACGAATATATTTTTGTATGATTTTGTTGATTTAAGAAATTGAAATAAACTGCAATTATTACACTCTTTGAAAGTAGAGCTTATACTAAGAAAATACATTAATTTTTTCTAGATTCAGTAGTTTTTTTAGAAAACTAGAGAAACACATAAGTTTAAAAAAAAATTTGCCTTAAAAACAACGGTGAAGTTTTTTTTGCAATTTCTCATTTAAGGTGTTATTTTTGCAACATCTAACGTTTTTATGAATCTTATTTTTATGAATTTATTTTTGTATGATTTTGTTAATTTAAGAAATTGAAATAAACTGCAATTATTACACTCTTTGAAAGTAGAGCTTATACTATGAAAATACATTTATAATAAATTGAAAATGCCCACTACATAATGTATTGCTTTTATCTTACTTTACGTTTTTTATTTTTAGTTGAATAATTTTTTTTGATTTGTTTAACTTAAATGTTATTTCTTTATATGAAAATTCATATATATTCTTATATATTCCAACCATTTAGAGGTGTGTATGGTTCAATTTATTTTTAAATAGTATTTTCAAGTAATTACCCCCCTTCACTACCAAAAATGAAATGTTATATCTACTCGTTAAAAGTGAGTGGAAAATTGGCATGAATCAATGAGAAAAATGTTATATAAATTAAATAAAAATAAAAATAAATAAAAATTGTTAGTACGTATGTAGTTATTCTAGTAGATTTTGTGTATGGAATAATGAAGTGTTGCCTTGAAATTGTTTAACACCTTGTGTAATCGGATTTTTCAGTAACCTTTACTTTTCGAAAAAAATTTTGTTCACTGGATCACTTACCTCCCTTCACTGCCAAAAAATGAAGTGTTAGATCGACTCCTTAAAAGTGAGTCGAAAAGTGGCAAGGAGCAATGAGAAAAATGTTCATTTTTTTTTAATTGAAGAAAAATTGACAGTATGTAGTTATTTATTAATAGATTTTGTGTATGGAATAATAAAGTGTGGCCTTGAAATTATTTTTTAACATCTTGTGTAATCCAAATTTTTCAGTAACATTTACTTTTCGAAAAAAAAATTTGTTCACTTGATCACTTACCTCCCTTCACTGCCAAAAAATGAAGTGTTAGATCGACTCCTTAAAAGTGAGTCGAAAAGTGGCAAGGAGCAATGAAAAAAATGTTCATTTTTTTTTTTTAATTGAAGAAAAATTGACAGTATGTATGTAGTTATTTATTAATAGATTTTGTGTATGGAATAATAAAGTGTGGCCTTGAAATTATTTTTTAAAATCTTGTGTAATCCAAATTTTTCAGTAACCTTTACTTTTCGAAAAAAATTTGTTTACTGGATCACTTACCTCCCTTCACGACCAAAAAATGAAGTGTTAGATCGACTCCTTAGTGAGTCGAAAAGTGGCAAGTAGCAATGAGAAAAATGTACAAAAAAATTTTTTTTAATTGAAGAAAAATTTACAGTATGTATGTAGTTATTCTAATAGATTTTGTGTATGGAATAATAAAGTGTGGCCTTGAAATTATTTTTTAACATCTTGTGTAATCCAAATTTTTCAGTAATCCTTGTGAGGGGGCCTGGGTAATGAAAATATTTGAACACTTAACTGTAGATATTTTTTTATGTAAAATAATTCGGTGGGGAGGATTCCACGAAATATCATTCGCTTAAGTGGAAAACATCGTTTTAACATGATGTAATTAAAGTATTGACTTGCTATCGTAAAAGCTGAGTCCTTCGGTGACGATGGATGACGAAAGCAAAAAAAAAAAAAAAGGTTGATGATATAAAGAAAAAAAAACCACGAGTCCGGAAAGGGAGGATTATAGTAAAAGTGGTAATTAATGGGACCGGATTGGATTACTCCCGGTTATTAAATATAGTGAGGGGGCGTTAAAGGGAAAAAACGTGTTTGGGATTTGTTGTGTTGGTGGGGTTTGTGACGTCAGGTCACCATTTCCCCCTCGAGTGGAGCCCACTCGGAACTCCGCTTCCCTCGTTTAGTCTTCTGTAAACCATCGCACCATTTGGACCGTGACACCCGGCCCAACTTTATTGGAGACAACGTCATTTGACACAGTGATCTTTTTGAAAAACGTTATGTGAATCCTTTATTCCGAAAAGGGGATCGTTTTTTTTTTAGTTTCCACACAACGGTCATCGGACCTAAGGCCTAGTTTGACGTGTGACATTTGTTTACAAGGAGTGTGTGCGACTTAAAGATACAACGGATTAAGGATAAACGGAGATTAAGGCAAATTTTACAAAGGTGAGAATATTTTCTTATAAACCGACAAAGAACTATTAAATAAACAAGAGGTGGCATTTAAAATTTAAAGGGCTCTTTGCTTTTATCATCTCTTCCATGCTTTTTTTTATAACTTTTGGTTTACGAATTGGGAAAAAACAAAAGTGGCAGATTCAAACAGCGCAGTAATTGCTTACGGGCTAGCTGTTTCCTGCTTGTACTTGGTGGGGGAGGGGGGGTTGGTGCCCTACGCTCCTGTGAAGTACCGAGACGCACCAACTCCAAAGTGGGGAGAAGTGGGAGAATTGTGGTCACATGCTACACACCTCCCGTCACGTAGTAGTAAATTGACGTAACGTTATTATGTTATTTCCGCTCTTGAGATATTCTCCTACTGCGATAATAAAAAAAGACGGCAGTCCCAAAGTACCTGTTGATTTAAATGGTAAATCGATGACCAGGTGGAAAATGGTGCAATGAAAGCTCGTTATTGGGAAAACGACGTCCGTGGTTGCGTTCCGAGGAAAAACCCCGGGGGACACCATCGGCACTTAAGAGATTGCGAGGTGATACGCTTGTTAAACATCTGACGCAACCGTCACTAAGAGACAATCAAATTATAAAGTAATGCTTGATTTACTATATTTAAAGGTCAGTTTGATAAATCTGGGAACAATATGTTCGCACTGATCTGATATTCATAGCTGCTTCCTACATTGACCTTTTTGAGGTCATCGAAGCTATGAATCCAATAGTCATGTTCCTCTTTTTTCTTTTTGAATTAAAACTTACGTAACCATTGGTAGAAACATACTTTTATATGCTCATTATAATTTTAGAGAAGAAAACAATGGAAACCAAAAATACAAAATAAGGTTCATACATAAAAATCTTTATATCTCAATAATTACGGTTTTTTCATTAGATAAAACATTAAAATGTTAAATTTCCTATTGATTTACTATTTAAAGGTCAATTTGAACCAGCACTTAACTCGAAAGGAATCGAGCCGATCATCAGCAATATGGTCGTATCTGTTCTTCAACAACTGCTTCCTACGCCATTCCTTTTTGAGGTCGTCTTGATGATAAACCTGTGGTTGTCATTTTTTTTTTTTTAACTTAAAACTTATACTATTTAAAGGTCAATTTGAACCATTACATGTCCCGATATATAGGGCCGATCATAAACAATATGGTCGCATTGACCTGATCTTCATAGCTGCTTCCTACAATTACCTTTTTGAGGTATTCGTGAGGATGGACCTACAGTCATGTCGTTTTTTACTTTTTTAATTAAGACTTATACTATTAAAGGTCAATTTGAACCATTACATGTCTCGATAAATAGGGCCGATCATAAACAATATGGTCGCATTGACCTGATCTTCAGTAGCTGCTTCCTAAAATGACCTTTTTGATCGTGGTAATGAATCTAATCTTCATGTACCTCTTTTTTTCTTTTTTAATTAAAACTAATGTAACCATTGGTAGAAACATACTTTTACATACTCATTCTAATATTAGGGAAGAAAACAATTGAAACAAAAAATTCTAAATGAGGTCCATCCATAAAAATTTTAATATCTCAATAATCATGGATTTTTTCTTTACATAAAACAATAAAACGTTATATTTATTATTGATTTACTATTTGAAGGTCAATTTGAACCAGCACTTATCCCGAAAGGAATCGGGCCGATCATCAGCAATATGGTCGCACTGATCTGATCTTCAATAACCGCTTCCTACGCCATTTTTTTTTTTTTTTTTTGTCTTCGTGATGATGGACCTATAGTCATGTCATTTTTTACTTTTTTAATTAAAACTTATACTGTTTAAAGGTCAATTTGAACCATTACTTGTCTCGATAAATAGGGCGGATCATATGCAATATGGTCGCACTGACCTGATCTTCATAGCTGCTTCCTACGCGATTCCTTTTTGAGGTATTCGTTATGATGGACCTATAGTTGTCATTTTTTATTTTTTATCTTAAAACTTATACTATTTAAAGGTCAATTTGAACCATTACATGTCCCGATAAATAGGGCCGATCATAAGCAATATGGTGCGCGATTTTTTTTTGTTAGATCTTAATGGTAATGAATCTATAGTCCTTTTTCTTCTCTTTTTTTAATTAAAATTTATATAACTATTCATAGAAACATAACTACTCATTTTAATTTAAGAGAAGTAAACAATGGAAACAGTAAATAGTAAATGAGGCCCATTTATAAAAATCTTGATGGTTTCTAAATAATCGTGGTCGTTTTTTAATTTTTTCATTAGATAAAACATTAAAATGGTATATTTCATATTGATATTTTTATATGTAAAGGACAATTTGAGCCAGTACTTGTCACGATGAATCGGATCGATCACGAAGTGGTAGCACTGATCTGATCTTTAATAGCTGCTTCCTACGCGATTCCTTTTTGAGCCCTTCGTGGTTATGGACCTACAGTTAGTTAGGTTTTTTCTCTCTCTTTGTTTTAATTAAAACATTTATTTATGTAAACTTACTAGTACAAATTCATACTAATTTTATAATTTCATCTTCACGATTTATAAATAATAATAGTCGTTTATAATTTTTTCCGTAGAAAAATCATTAAAATGCGATATTTCTATATACGTGGGTTGATGAGCTTGGACTTTTCCAATCCTGGTCCGCCAGTCCTCCACGTTTTTATCCAATAGGCTTTTTCATTTCGCTATATTTACCGGTGGACTTTTTGTTCTACTTGGAATATTGATCGTACGTTTCCTCATTTTATCTTTCGCCCCATCAACCCCGGGAAATTTGTATTTAAAATTAATTTAAGATAAAATGTGACGCAATTCGACAGGGGTTGTTTTTCCTTTTAAATTGAAAATGTATTGTTAGGCAAATTCAGAGTTTTTTAGGACGAAAGTATAATTTTATCCAAAATTATTGACCTAGAAAAAAATAACCTTGTCCTATAAATCTCCTTCTTGAGTATTTTTGGACTGAGTTGGATTTCTATCACGGATCGATTGAAATAGTTTGGTTATTTTTGGATAATCATACGGTTTTTTTATTAAAATGTATTAAATTAGAAAGAAAGTAGTGATGATGTAATTTCGATAATGGTCGGCATGTTCTTGCTTTGTTTCGGTCTTTCTCCATTTTTCACTTAATGTTTCCTATTTGTTATATTAAGAAAAACTTTTATTGTTTAACCCTCTTTCACCGCGGAAAGACTTGATTTAGCATAAAATGTTATGTAAGACATGTCTGTTACACATGTTACACCGTTACCACCGTCCTTCTATAGTTACAATTCTAACATCGCCTCGGGGGTTTTTCTTCTCCGTTTTTCAAACTGTTTATCCGATGATAAATTTATAAAAGGGAAAGAAAGATATGTTGACGTTTTTCGACATGCCTTCACAAGATAAGCCACGACGAACAATGGTCGAACCCAGGCCCCCCTCCTTCTGTGATTTGATTCCGCTTGAAATAATCTCTTCTTGCGTAACACTGACCATGTTTATCGGTTATTTTCTTTCTTTAATTAAAAGTGCACACGTCTCTTGGTCTAAACCACTCCCCGGTCTTTTGTTATAGTGATTTTAAATCGACACGAGACGGTGAAGTTCAAGACTTTATAAATTCCATCTCTTAAAGTATAAAGCCTTGACATCAAGCTTTAGGAACAATTTTAAGAAGAAAACCCTTTTGTCAAAACTACTTGTATATCTTATCAACCGACAGATATCGGTTTTATCATAGTAAAACATTACCCTTGAAAATTTATATTTCTCGCGCAGTATATTAAACTAATTAACTTGTCATAGTGAGAAAAAACGTTGTAATTTCAAAACTTTCGTCTATACCAAATGATAATTAATAATTATCTCTGAATCGGTAAGCAGGCCAAGGGCCCATTAATGAGCTGTAGTGATCATGATCTGATGGTAATTCATCAAATCACAAAAAACGAACACGATCACGTAATATACAATCCATTATATTTAGTGGTCTATTGACCAAATTACTTCTTTCAATTAATTAATCTTTTTATGTAAGGTTTTGGTTGAAATGAAAAAGTCAGTGCCACGAGCGGGATTCGAACCCACGACCTTCGGCTAAATACGTCGCTGCTCTACCACTTGAGCTATCGTGACTTCGATCCACTCGCACACCAACTTCCCATCTCAACCCGAATTTTCCCTCCTTTTTGCTATTTTTCAAATGTGCAATCTATTTGATTCTCAGCGACAAATGAAATGTCCACGGAGAGCTTTAGTGAAGTATACTTCATTTTGCTTATTAAAACCATAAGGTTTCGTGGTCCGCTTGAACAAATAAATTCTTTTCAATTAATTAATCTTTAAATAAGGTATTGGTTGAGATAAAAAAGTCAGTGTCACGAGCGGGATTCGAACCCAAGACCTTTGGCGAATGGATCGAAGTCATGAGAGCTCAAGTGGTAGAGCAGCGGCGTATTTAGCCGAAGGTCGTGGGTTCGAATCCCGCTCGAGACACTGACTTTTTTTATCTCAACTAATACCTTACTTAAAGATTAATTAATTGAAAATAATTTATTTGGTCAATCGGACCACGAAACCTAATGGATTTAAAAATATATAATGTTGAAAAAAAAATGTTTTTTAATGATAGCCGATCGAGATATATAAAAATTTATGAGTTCATTTTTGTCAAGAACTAAAAGACACATTTTTTCGTCTAGTTGAATGAAATTTTATAAACGTATCACGTTAATAAAAATGTAGATGTGGTTCTGTCGCGTCCGCCTGGTCTTGCTTTAGTCTGTCAGGAATCGTTTCATCATTTCGCCATCTTAATTAGGTTGCTTCATGTTCTTATCGTTAAATTTTTTGTCTTCTCTTTATTAGGTTTATTTGTTTAATTTAAACTCGGTTCTCTTAAATAATATAAGAAATATTAATAAAAGAAAAACTGAAAATGATGAAATAATGAAACCTGACAGATCATAACAGCGAGATGGATCAGGGCAGCTATAGTTCGTA